CGTCTGAATTCTGAACAAAGATGGCTCCTTTAGTTAGAAAGCTTTAATGAGCAGCTATTTTGATCCTGGAAGATGGTGGAATCTCCCACTTGGAAGTGGGAGGTAGGAATAGAGAATCTACTGGACACTGCCCTGATTTAGGAAAAAATGGGCAAGGGTCCCTCCACCCCTGGCACTGTAAGGCAGCCCTGACCTTGACTGCTTCCATGCCACAGCCAGGCTCATGTAGAACACAGTGTTGTGATGAGTCTGTATGCACCATCACCTGGCAATTCATACCCCTAAAACTAAAAATGTGAGCAGCGACACAAACATTGACTCCTGTCCTTAGACACAGCATCCTAAACGATGCCTCTTAATTTACTTAATTTCTGGCAGGTGTTTGAAGGAAAAAGTTAAGCCAGCAATGCGTATTGGCCCAGCCGGAGCCCCCTCCCACCTGCATATGCACACAGGCACAAGCGCACACACACACACACGTGTGCACACACGCCCGCACTCCATTTCACAAAGGCTGACTCCCTCTCGATGTGCACAGGTGCAGCACAGGTCCCCTCCTCTGGACCCCACTTTGCCCTTCTTGAGTCTCCCATGGACTTGGTTCAGCACCAGGGGAGAGCGGCACCAGCTGTCCAGCACTGTGTACGGCTGTGCCTTTGTCCTGCTTCCCTTTGGAAACTCACTCATGCTGCTTTCGGCTTCAGTCTCATAGCATAAATACTACCAGCTTAATGAGGAAGCACCAACCGTGTAGGAGCACAGCGAAGAGCATCCCCGAACCCCCTCTGCAGACATTCCTCTCCCCAACACTTCCTCTGTTCATGCCCACGTGCTCAGCCTGACACGGCCAGTGATGACGACTGTGTCACAGGCTGTCCTACAGCAAGTGACATGGAGCCATGTGCACCCAGTGGGCCGGGAGAGGAGGTAGGGTATGGGCAGTGGCGATGGCTCTACTGTGCCCTGCAGTGTGTAGAGCACGCCAAGACTTCAGTTGTCCAAAGGCTCACTCTCCAAGTATCCACTGTTGGATGCTGTTGGTGCTGGTCGCTCTCTACTGTTGCTGGCCTCTCAAAGTGGCCGAGGCTGATTCTGAGAACAGGTACGTGAGGGACAGAAGGACAGTTTTCCTGGTGAGCTGCAGGGGTTACAGGCCTCACTCCCAGCATCTCCTATTATGCAATCAAACTCAAAGCCCCAGCAGGCTCAGGGACAACGAAGGGAAACTTCACCTCCAGGAGGACTGGCAGTGTTCTGGAAGAACATCTGGGATGGGAAATACTGCTATGGGCATTTTGGAAAAAGCTGCCATATTAAATTAAGGATTTTTCCTCTAACTATCCAGACAGCTTTTTAGGTTAGCTTGTTCCATTCTCATTGAGGTACTGCATTTATGGAATCGATGTTATCACACCAAGGGCGCGTGCAGCTCAGCAATATGATGGGTGTGGACTCCTGTGTACCCCCCAAATGGCCAAAACAGCCAGCACCTCCAGAAGCTGAATGACTTCCTACACCCACTTCTTAGTCAACACATCCTGCACCCCCAGGGGTATTCTCCGTCTGACCTCTGCCACCAAAGACGAGTTTTTTAGCCTGTGTTTTCTCAGGCTGTATTATTAATGGTTTCTTCTGCCAGATTTTGCTTTGAATGGTTGCATGGTTCACAATTTACAGGCATATTCCAGTTTACTTAACCAATAACCTGTGGCTGGAGCTTTGGCTGTTTTATAATTTCCAGTAAGGAAGATGCAATGACCGCGGGCAGAGGCCCTGACCAAGTGTACCATTATCACCCACCTTGTGGAAACAGTCGGGTGCTTTCGCCCCCAACCCTGCCCTTCCCGGGGACCACAAGTGGGCCAAACAAGCCAGGCAGACAGCACCGCATAGGAGCAAGGATGGCGCCCATGGCCATATGGGTGGACTGTCTCGAGCTGGACTAAATGGCTTGGAGTGTGCGTGCTGGGGACAGCATTCCTCCATCACCATTTTATATTGATTGTGTACGAGCACAGTCCCAAGGCTGAACAGAAAACAGTTATATCACCTGCTTTTCTGTGGCTTTTTGTTTGATTTTGTTTTTTTGGGGTACACAAGGTTCATCCCAGGGACTTTGTACTGAGCTACGTCCCCAGTCCTTTTTTAAAACTTAATTTTGTTTGTTTTGAGACAGAGGCTTATTAAGTTGCCCACGCTGGACTAGAACCTGCAGTCCCCCTGCACGGGCTTCCCAGGGCACGGGGATTACAGGCGCGTGCCTCCACGCCCAGCTTTTTCTGTTACCCCTGCCACCCTCATCATCTCTGCTTCCTCTCTCCGTGGGTGGCACCTCCCACCGGCCCACATCACTTTCAGAAAGCTTGTGCTGAAGTGCGCCTTGCAATTAAGTGGCCCTGGCTGGCTTTATAGACTCCCCTTGCTTGTCTGATAGCTCTAAGTGGTTCCTATAAGGTGTGGTCTTATTTGCTCACAATTATGCAAGAAGATAAAAGAGAGGAAAGTAGGGAGACAGGAAGAAGAGAAGGAGAAAGAGGGGGGAGAGCTGGCAGGAGAAAGAGGGGCCATTGTTCTAATTTTGCCGGGAGGGAAGTGAGGGTTTGCGGAGTAGTATATCACCATGTTGGGTTTACAAATAAAGACACCAGAGGCCACTGGTGTTCAAACACAGGATGTAGACGCTCTGTCTGCAAGTCGGGTTTTTTCTAAGGAAAATTAAATTCCAAAAATATTTGTACTGACTTAAAAAAAAAAACAACAACCTTCTCATGGCTCCCATTTTTAGCTGCAGTCCTCATTTGTGGGCTGAATCGGAGTTCCTTTTTTTTTTAAAGTTTAAATAGGAATGGAAGCTATCCACTAAAGCCTTAGCCAAGATGTGAGCAACACTGCGTCAGTGGGAAGAGCAGGCTGCACATGGAGAGGCCGAGAGAGCCCTTCCCAGACAGTGGCAGGGAAAGGCAGCCCTCAGCGCCCTCTCTGTGGCCGGCAGATGCGTGAGAATGCCGGGACTGTATTTCAGCATGGGTAAGGCCAGCTTAAAGAAAAGCCCCAGCAATGGCTGGGACACACACGCCTCCCTCACTGGCTTGGATGATGTCCTGGGACTCAGCAGGCACGTGAGAAAGCACATCAGCAGGCCGTGTGTGTGTGTGTGTGTGTGTGTGTGTGTGTGTGTGTGTTGCTGGGGCTGGAACCCAGGAGCTCACGAACACTAGGCAAGTGCTGTCTACTACTGAGCTCCAGCTTCAGCCCTTTTTGTTTTGAGAGTCTCCCTAGGTGCCTAGGCTAGTTTTGAAGTGGCCATCCTCCCACCTAAGCCTCCCAAACAGCCGGGATTACTGGCCTGTGCTACCATGCTCAGCTAAGCCTGCAGATTTGAATCAGAGCCTTTGCAGAACTGCATGAAGGCTACCAGCAGGTGATGCCTTTTCATTATACAGAACAATGAATAGATTCCGGTTACCTCCGAGATGGGAAAACACAAAGGGCCTGCCATGGAGCCATTGTCCCTTGAGGGTGTGCCTGTTGTGGTGTGGTAGCACAGTACCACTGTGACAGGGTGCACCACCCTTCTGTCACCTACCATGTGGGACACTCTTGCATTCCTGTCCCCTTCCCGACACTGTCACATTCTTCAGGGAACATCTCTGTCCTTATCTCAGTGCAGGAGAGATCTGCCATAACCTGCAGACTGGAATTTAAGCAGGTGTAACCAATCTTTGCAGCTAAAGGGGAGGATCTGTAATAGCAACCTCTCTTGAGCATTAACTCAAAGTCCCATGGCACCTACATTCATCTATTAGAGACAGTGACCCCAGGGACCGAACCAGTCCCTGTGAGGCTCCCTCACCTCCCCAACGCAAGTCCTCCATAGCTGTCTGTCCCATGCACAGCACAGCGAGGCCACTGCACCGACCCCGTCTCCCCAGGGACACCACCTCCCAGTGCTCTACTCCCCCCAGCCCTTCTGGGTCCTTCCTCCCACTGCCCTATCTTGGGGCATCTTGGTGAAACCCTCCCTGCTCTCTACTTAAATTTGACCCTCACCACCAAGCATCACCCACTTCCTACCCTCTTCTGCATCTTTTTTTTTTTCCTACCTTGTATGTGTCTGCGAGTACCTGATTATCAGGCTACACGCGTCTGACCAACTGTTGGAATATAACAGAACATCCTCTCTGTGGCAACAGAAGGTTGTGTCTGCCCTGTCTCCTGTTGTATCCCCAGGGCCTGAAGCACAGCCCGACAGAGAGCTGGCTCTCTGTGAGTGACCAACCTATGGTCAGTAAGTATCCAACCTCACGGTGCCCATCAGTCAGCATCTGAGTCGATCTGTTACTAGATGATGACTAGAAATCAAATAGAGAAGCAAATTCATTGAGAAGTGAATTCAAAGTGTGCAAAGTTCCTAGATCCAAATGAAAACCTGCTAAGAAGACCCATGGGGGTAGACCAGTTAGCTTCAGAGGAGAAAAGACTTGACAAAAGGCTTACCAAGTCCTTCCACAGAAAACAGTTTCCAAAATAAGGACATGCAGAGAGGCCCTTGGGAAAATGATGGGACCCTTGGCATGTTTAAGCCTCTCCATGATCAGTATACAGAGGTGAAGCAGGAAATAGAAGACACAGCCAAGTCCAGACCACAGAATCTGGCTGCCTAGGCTCAGATGCCTGGCCCTCTTAATAAACTATGGAACCTCTCTTGCCTCTGCTTTCTCATCTGTAAAATGGGACAGTAATAGTTACTGTCTCATCACTGTGTGAGTGTTGACTGTTTTATATATATATATATATATATATATATATATTACAAATATATATATATATAAATATATATATATATACATTAGCACCCCAGTTCAGTGGTTTGCAAACAGAAGTGTATTTTGCTTTTGTTCGCTAATTCTGCACCGGGTAGCAAACACCACCAGAGCCATCTTTCCCACACAAACACAAACATGGCCAACTTTTCCAAAATCATACACCAGTTCATGAACTGAGGTACCTCCAAATATGTTTATGTACAGTGCCTGGCTGTACAGTAAGCAGTTCTGGTATGTTTACTATTGATACTGTATAACTATATAGCAAAATTAAGCCAAAAAACTAACAACAGATTCCTTCATTGGCCATTCTAAGCGTTAGCTCAGCGCTGCATGTAAGGTTTTTTTGGTACCAGGAATTGAATTCAGTGTTGGCTTGCCAGGCAGGTGCTGTACCGCTGAGCTGTATCCCTGAAATAAGTTTTAAAAATATTTATAAATCAAGATGAACTTCTCACAAGATGGAAATTTTATCAATTTTGATAACTGTTTCATCTTCATGATGGTGCCTGTTGTACCCTTTTTCATGTTGACCATGAAATTTGGTCCACTTTGAAGCAGGTTTGCACTGATGACTTTACGGCCTCTGGTCGGGTTGTGGTGACGGAGGGGGAGGCGAGCTTCAGCACAGCCAGGCACAGAGCAGTGAGCAGGTCCAGTTCACGGAAGGCCTTCACACGAGTGCTAACGACGGGCTAGGGAGGAGAGGGTGTCCATTCATTCTGTTGTTCATTGTCCATCCCACCACTAGCTACGCTTGTTTTCCCTGTGGGCCTGGGATCAACGGGGACTCACGGAGACACGAGGAAGAGCACGGGCTTCTATATTCAAATCAGACAGAGACTCAGCAGGGGCAGGACCTCTGTCCAGAGTCAACCCTGCAGATGCCTCGGGAAAGAGAGGGGACTGGAAGGTCCCAGGGGGACCCGAGGCTGTCCGGAGCTTTGCTGGCAGGTGCTCAAGACGGAGGCAGAAGGCAGAGCGGGAAACAGCAGAGGAAGGGCCATGGTGGGGCGAGCTGCCAAGTTTGGCCTCTGCCCCTGCCTCACTTTGCCCTGGCGGTCCAGGTACCATCCACTCCCTGGAAGCCCCAGCCAGCCCACCTCTTGTTGGAAGGGTCTGATCAGAGTGGTGGCATGCGGTCAAATCAGCCTTCCTCAGACACCGCCCCCCACGCTCCCCTTTGCTCCCCAGGGCTGCCGGGCTGCACCCTGAAATATTCATCTCTTCTCAGAGCCGCCCTCTCCTATGACTGCAGGGAACGCTCTGGGAGCAGCACCCCTGTAGTCTTGGGGGTTCATCCTTCCCCTCTCATAAACATTCCAGGGAGGACACGGGCCTCAGCACCTGGACCCCAAGAGAACGTGAACCCACAGACCAAAGGCAAAGGGAAGCCCAAGACGCCTCTCACCTCTCATAGAAAGACCGTGCTGGACGACTGCCCTCGGGGCAGGACTTCGTGGCCAGCTGGAATTTAAGCAGGTGTAACCAATCTTTTCAGGTAAAGGGGAGGATCTGTAATAGCAAGCAGAAACAAGGAGTCAAAAAAAGAACCAACGGGCCAGAAGGGCCCTGAAGACAGAAGGGCCCTGAACACAGGCGCTTTCCGCAGGGATTAGAGGTGACGGAGGCTGTCTGTCGTCAGGGGAAGCAGGAGTGAGCTTCTTCCCGGATGTGGAGGATGCCGGGGCCTGCGGGAAGCAACGTCCCAGGTGCACACAGAGAAATAGGCACCAACTGGAAGGGCATGGTGCTGAGTGAACCTAAGAAACCAGAGAAGGCCAACAGTAAAGCAGGTCAATTAAACACAAAGTAACACCGAGTGTCCCTGGATGAAGGGCAAAGCAAAAGGTAGCCTATTCAGAAATAGAATAGTCCTCAGCCTTCAGAAAGAGGGATATTCCCATACATGCTATGACACAGGTGAACTTTGAGGATGGGACCCTCAGTGAAATAAGCCAGTCATCAAGAGACAAACACTGTATGAATCGACTTCCATGAGGCTCCTAGAAGTATCAAACTAAGAGACAGAAACCCAGGTTGCCAAGGGCTGGAGGAGAGGGCAGTGGAGAGTGAACCTTACTGAGCACAGGGTTTTAGTTTGGGAAGATAAAAAGCCCCGTAAGGGTGGTGGTGATTCCATAGGAACGTGAGTGTGCTTAATACTCTCAACTGTACACATAAAGATGGTCCCAAAGGTAATTTTTTCTTTATTTAGTGCTTTTTTTTTTTTTTGAAACAGAGTCCTCAAAAGTTGCCCAGCCTGGCTTTGAATTTTCCATGTTCCTGTCTCAGCCTCCTGAGTAGTCAGGATTACAGGTGTGTGCCACTGCGCCCAACTCCAGCAGTAAATCTTACGTTACACATTTTTATCACAATACAAAATAAGACAAGAACTTTTTAATAAGGAAATATTTTATACGAAAGAATCACACCATGTGTTATGATAAAGGTAACAAGCAGAGGAATGGGCCGAGCTGGCAGTGACCCTCTGAGCACAGCACAGAGTCCTCACTAAGGGGGAGAGGCTGGAGGGCAGTCATGGGTCGGCTCAGTAATAGCTACACGGCTCACGGTCCCTTAGCCTCCCTGTGCAGAGGAGGCAGCACCCCACACCCACACTCATCCAGTTCCTTCAAATGATTTCTGTCTGTCTGGGTTTCCCTTCTCCTCTGCCTGGGCCAGCAAACTGGACCCCAAAAAGCCACACTGGCTGGCCACCTCACCAGAGCCTGCTCCCACACTCCCCACCAGCCTCCTGAACACTGCAGGGAGAACGAAACGGAGACCGCTCACAGCCTGGAAAATGACATCGCGTTTCCATTTAGGGCACCTCAACTGATGAGCATGCCTATCTCTGGCAGGACAAACCTCTCTCCAAAACTCAGGGGCATAAACACGGCTACTTCTTCTATTGCTCAGTAACTGAATTTGGTGTTTGTTTTAAACTTCTATTCTGCCCGGTAATGCGGACATCATCAGAGCCAGTGCCTGGTCTCTCAAGCTCTTGGGCCAGCCAGGCCCTCTGTGAGCCGTCTCCTTTCCTGTCTCCGCTGTTTGAGGCATAGTCGAATCAGAATGGCCCTGTGGCCATGTCAGGTCACTCAGCATCCATGAGGATGAGGATGCTGCATCAGAGAGGTAGAAAAGCCACTGGTATTCTGTGGCTAAAAATCGGCTTCCCCTACTCCTTCAGGTTTGCAGTGCCATCCCTCTGTGACTAACAGCTGAAACACGGCAGAGCCCCAGTGTCACCACCCTGAGCACGCTGCTGAATTTTGACAAATGTGTGCAATTTAGGGAACAACGGAGTCTATTTGAATGCCGAGCAGGGAGGAGGCGTGAAGGATGGCAGCGCAGGCTGTATACTGCGTGAGTAAAGATGTGAGAAGCGAGCCTTAAATCAAGTGTGCCCACTGAGGCTTTGGACAAGAGCACAGCTGGGACAGGCCAGGATCCTCAAACAGCAGTGTAGGGCCGGCCAGGCTTGCGGATCCAGGCTCCTGCCTGCAAAGCAATCTAGTAATCAGGCAAGGGCAAGGTATTAAATGAGATCAAGTGACTTGCAGATAACTGGCTGGTGAACTGCCTTGGGAAAATGGTCAGGAGCCCAGAGATGCCGGGTCGCAGGACATAAGATGTTGCTGATGCTAAGTGTGAGTGGCCTGCTGCTCCTTGGGCCCACTGTCCAGCATACTGACCGGCTGTTCTGGAGCCGCAGGGAAAGAGGATGAATGCTGAAGTCTGCCTGCTTCCTGGTGCATCTGACCCCACAACCCTGAACTCCTCCGAAGGTCAGGGAGAGCCCACTTCTGGCCTTTAGGGAAGGAAGATCTTGCCTCCCACCAAGACAGCTGCCTCCCCAGACACTGGATGGCCCCGATGGTGCAGGAAAACAAGTCCATTTTCTGTTGCTAATGATGCAACACCATAGACTGGGTAAATTATAAAGAAAAGCTTATTTTGGCCAACAGTTCTGGAGGTCCAAGGTCATGGCCCACATCTGGTCACGATCTTCTTATCAGAAGAGTCCTGAACCAGCACAGGGCATCACCCGGTGAGAAGAGGTGCAGGCATGCTTACTGGGTTCTCATCCTGTTCTTATAAAGCCACCAGTATTCAGTCAGGGGGCTCTAGTCTGAGGACTTTAATCTTAATTACCTTCCAAAGGTCCCAACTCTAAACACCATGGTTGAATTAAGTTCCTACCCTCTTAATACTTCATAATGGGGCTCACACTCCAACACAGATTTGTAAGGAAACAACCTATATTTGCACCATAGTAACAACCATAAAATAAAAATCATTCACAAACATGATCATGGGACTGCTCAGTGACCATGGGTGTTTCTGGTCCCTATGGGCCCCTGTTATTCTGAAGTAGAACCATTAAAGACTACTTTAACATTGTTTGATATTTTTCAAATCTTTTCCCATGTTTCTTCAGATTTCTAGTACACAGAACTATGCTGTGAAGACAGAAAGGTTAAGAACTATTCTTCTAATACCTTAGAACAGTGATGGCAAAACTTTTAGAGCTTTCAATTGACACCAATAGTCCATGTGGAAATATTAAAACAAGGATTAATAAATATGGAGGCCCCAATTCTTCTAGGAATTCCTGGAGCAAAACTATTTAGCATGTCATCCCTTATAACAAATGGCCTGGTGCACAAACAACTGGAGAGTTGTCAATGGATCAAAGCCCACTATGGTTGGAGGGGGATGGCAGAGGCATGCCAGCAGACTCCCCAGGGCTGTATCTCTAGGGTTGACAACTTTGAAATCTGGACCCTAAATGATGCAACAGAGATCAGATTTGCAGGAAGCACACATTGCATCAACCAACGTGTCTTGGACATCGCATCAGAATTCACGATGGCAGCATTCTTTGGTCTTGAACTGGGCTTTCATATCCCGTTAAGCCTAAGAGTGAGCTATGTGTAGTTCACGAAGCCTATCTATGTAAGAGTGTCAGAGTGACAGGAAAGTTGGAAGCAGACTCAGAGAAGTGAAGTTTGAAGTAGGGAAAAGGTGAAATTGGATTGTCATTCCCTCTGGCCCGACTGATCTTGGTGAAGTAAAGATAGCCAGGCTTGCAGAGGTAGAAGCTGTTGTGAAAAAGACTGCTATCCCATAATCCTTGAAAACAGACTGTCTTGTCATCTCTAGAAGGCCATCCAGCCTGGTGTCCCTGAAGACAGCAGAATTGCCAAAAGCTTTATGATTCTTTCCGTGGGTTCAAGCCCTCCTCCTGTGAGCACCTGCTCTTGGCTTCATGTAGTGTCTGCCTGAGACAGTGCATGGAGCCACAAGGACAGCCCAGCTCGGGGCCGCAGGGTGCAGCTGCTCAGTGAGGGGCTGGCGGGCTAGCCAGGAGCCACCACCCAAGCCCAGCTGCAGGGCTGGGCTTCCTGCAAACCAGGAGTGTGCAGAAGGACCGCTGACCCAGGCTATGTGTTTACAGTTTTCACAGTGCCCCAGGGACAGCTGCGGTCTCCCCACCCCTGCAGCCTCAGGGTGTTGTGAGCACCAACCAGAGCTGCTGAGAGGTAGAAACAGCAGCAGCTGTTCGTCCCCTGCAATCTCCTCATAGCTTTGAGCAATCGGGATGTTTGTTCATCTCTCCTGTAAACAGTTGTTTTCCCAGCAACTGCCCAGCTTGTGTTAAATATTAACAAAGAGCTGCCTCCACAGCCTCTCTCAGGGCATCTGCTTTAAATATTTAACTAATTGCTGTTCCATCCCTGAGCGACATCTTGGCTCAAACTGTTCTGTGACTGCTCTTGCCTCCCTGTTGACTTGTGGGAGGTGTCCAACATTTCCACTTCCCTTCCCATCCCTCATGGCTGTGTCTGTGTCTTGGTAAATAGTGCTAAGACGTATAAAGTGCTGCCTTGCCTACTAAGGGACACATTCGGCTCCCTAGTCCTGTACTCTGTAGGGAACTGTGATACCCACTCAGATGCACCTAGAGTCGAGGGCCTCTCAGCACGACTCCCCGTCATGCACTCGGTCAGCTTGGATGGCCAGGGCATGCTCCCCACCACTCTCCTCACATCTGGGTATGTGTGCGTGCACTCCTGAGCCCTGTGCACTATGGAAATGCAGTCACTGTGTGCACAGTGTTCACTGAAGTCCCCTCTGTTTGGGCTCCTCACCGCATCAGGGTTTGCATGACATGAGTAAGTTTCCTGCCCAGGGCTGACGGGGGAGGATCGGGACTGAGAACAAATGAACCACACAAGTGTGTGCGGCCTCAGTCCCACAGCTGGGCAGCTTGGTGGCCCCTCCTAAGAATGAGGGGACAGAGGGAGTGACCTTGGGGGGGGGGTCTGAAACACCAAGGCTCTAGGGAGTCAGGATTGTGCTGAATGTTTTTGTTTCCAGGTGGTGTTTGGGGATAATCACAGGACTTTGGAACATTCTGTTTAAAACCACAAGTCCACCTAGACTCAGCTGTGCAAACTCAGTGGATATGGCCTCAGCTTGGCACCAGTGGGGGTGGGGAACCA